TTGTGCAAGGAATCAAAGCATTTCTACCTATGCTTCCACCTTGGCCAGAACTCCCTATTCCTCTTTCTGGATAAAGGCTTTTCATATTTCCACTAGTACTATCCCTGTCTACTTAATACATTTAGATTCAGAAGGTCAACTGTATCAATCTAGACAGAGAGGCAAGCTGCCCAAATGTTGGTTGCTCTTTTGTGTTTGGAAAGTATCCATTTAACAGACAACATGGAAGCAGTGAAACCTCTAGAACTTTCAGCCTGCCATCCTCGGGACCAATGACCTAAGGTGACCTATCACAGCATAACCAGGAACTGGCATCCTATATGAGCACCACATTCAACTATTTCTCATATAGTAATAATATCTAACACTTATTATGAGTTATTGCATGCCAGGTACTGTTAAAATACTTTATGTGAATTATTTAATTTTCACAACCACCTCATGAGGAGTTTTATTTAATTTACCAAGAATAACCCTACAGAATTAAATTGTTGTCCTCACTATACAGACAATAATTCTAAGGCTTAGAGAATTTTAAGAACCTTGCTTAAAGCCAAGGACTGAGAACCAAGATTCACACCTAGATCCTTATTCGTATATAGCCTCCTCCTTCCCACTTAGCTATATTGCATAAATCTGTAGAAAACTAGTTTTTGTTCTGTTGGATGCTTGCCTCATCTAACTAACCTTTAGAGCTGAGTTGTTTCTAATATTGTATATGGACTTTTTTAAGTGAATGTCTGAATTACTTTGATACTGGTCTGGTGTCCATTGATACTGACACATAGAGAAGTTGACCAGATACAGTATGAGAACACAGCATAATTGTGGGAGAGCAGCTCCAATCATTGAATACATTACATGGTCTACACATCCTTTCATTCTCACCAGCTAGGAGGTTGCAAATTCCATGTTCTATGCAAACAATTAATACAAAACAATTGCTGGTACCTCTGAAACTTAACTTTAATTCTTCTGCTTTGTTTGGTTATTCATTCACATTTTGCTTATGGAAACATTATATCAGTGATTAGAGACATAACATTGAATAAAATTCTCCATAAAATGATCTAGAGAAAGAAGCTCGATGCAGTCTTTCAAATTACTTAAATATTTAAATATGTACACGTTCAAAGGTCTTTTCCTTTCAGTTTACTTTAAATTTATAGTCATTTTCTTAATCCTGTCTTCCAAAGAAAAGGCTTTATTTTTCATCCTTTTAAAGCACCTTTGAATACCCTCCAAATTCTGTTTCTGTCAAGTTGTGAAACCCAGAAATGGATACAACTTATCAACATTGAGTAAGAGATAATTTAAAGATTTTTTCATCTTCTTCTTATATTCTAAATTCCCTATATTGTCCTCAGAAAAGCACCATACTCTAACACATTGCCAATTTCAAAAAATAAATCTCCAAGTTATTATTTATTTCATTGTATATCTTTGTACATACATATTAAAATGTGTAAGTGCATGGTCTGGTTTTCTCCTTGAACCAGACCACCTTTCCTTTTCCCCTTTATCAGAACCTGGGTAGGTTTTGGTTTTGCCTGCCCCTCATTTGGGCGGCATCTGTATGGTGTGTGTTTGCTCTGTTCTCCTATCCCAGACTTTTCACTTTAAACAGGCTCCCAGAATCATAACCTACAGAATCAAGCCATTTCCCCATGATACCACAGTGACCTAGTTAAATGACCCTTTCTGAGTTTACCCTACCACCAAATGTAGCTGGCAAAAATGTTTCATATGGAAATAACATCATCTGCACAGTGCTATGCCACTTGTTTTTAAAATCAACAAGCTCCTAACATAGATTTGATGTCATCTGCAGAAGAACTGGATGTGATGAAGTTGATTACTTCAATGACTCAACCAGTCTTGCCTCAATGCTGCGCTGTGTGGAGGCAGAAGGGCAGAGCCTATAAACACACAGGGTTCCCACAGCTTGCATGTGTGCAAGCAAGAGCCAGCGGCGGCTCTCAGCTTCCCTGGAGGGTGGGGGGAGCTGCCCTGCAGGGTCAGAGACAGCCTGGAATCTCCGCGAGCCGTCTTCTTCCACTAGGCTGATTCAGACACAGAATCTGGCCCTATTTATCTTTTTAAAGGTATATGGATTAGGTAGAAGGCCCAAACATCTCTTGTAAAAATGCCACTGAAATGTTTCTTGGTGATTTTCCAGCAATTACTTGTCTCCTGGATATAGCTTTTTCACTAGGATTTTGCCAGATAATAATTGAAATGCTAAGCTAAATTTCCAGCCACCCTTGCATACACTGATAATGAAGAAACTGATTTCTACTTTTGATTTTATAAATCTGTGTGAAACAGATATATATTTCCAGTCTTGGTTATATAAATTACAGGGATGAGTTACTATTAAACGATGACAAAGTGCAATAATTATTTCAAAGTTGGCCATAAAAATAGAGATTTCTTATAGATTTTTATTATTTATACATATGAAAAATATCCTTTTGATATTCAAATTTGTTAGTGAAGCAAAAATTAGATCTGTCATTTTTAGTTTTTATATATATTTGATTTCTGTTCCATTGTTTCAGACTGTGTTTAATGAAAAAGGTACGTTATTCAAGGTAGGGAGAGGTTTGATTACATTTTATTTCCCCCGAAGCTTATTAGTCTCAGCAATAAAAATTCTATGTTTTCCCAGAAAAAGCTAAAATGTTTGACCTAAAAGAAGCTTCAGAGAGTATCGATATCAATATTCCTCAGATTATGCTCTGGGGAGCCACAGGGGGTCTGCGGATGCCTTGGAAGACGAGGACAAGGATCAGCAGGGATGAGGCGGGTTGGAGTCGGTCCTACTGCCCTGAGACGCTCACCCAGAGTGGCTCCATTTCTGCTCCATTTCACACATTGGACTTCTGTGTGAGGTTCCATTTGAAGCTCCAAGTACAATTAGGAATATTAATAATATTACTAATAATAATGCAGATATGAAATCCAATGGTCAAATGACCAAATTTTCCAAGCAAGAAAACCGAGATTCAGAGAGATTAAATGATTTGCTCAAAGTAACACACCCAGTAAATATTTGGTTGAAATAATGATTCCTAAAACTTAAGTGTATATGTTCCATTTAACCAGTATTTATAAAGACCTACCGAGTGTAAGGCACTATGCTTGGCCTCCAAGGGATAAAGAAAGTAACATATAGCCCTAGAATAAAAACCTCGTCTAAAATGCTAAAGAAAAAAACACTCAAGATCACCCCATCCAACCTACTTTTTAAAAAGATTTTATTTCTTTTTTTAAATTTATTTTTTATTGATTATGCCATTACAGTTGTTCTATTCCCCCCTTCATTCCCCTCCACCCTACCTCCCCGTCCCCACCATTACCCCCTTTTAGTTTATGACCATGTGTCTCAAGTTCTTTAGATTCTATATTTCCCATACTATTCTTGCCCCCCCTATCCATTTTCTACCTACTGTCTATGCTACTTATTTTCTGTACCTTCTCCCCCCTTCTCCTTCTCCCACTCCCCTGTTGCTAACCTTCCATGAGATCTTCATTTCTATGTGTCCGCTCCTGATCTAGCTATCCTTTTAGTTTACTTTTGTTTAAGGTGTGGTTGTTAATAACTATGAGTTTGCTATCCTTTCACTGTTCATCTTTTTTATCTTCTTTTTCTTAGATAAGTCCCTTTAACATTTCATATAATAAGGGCTTAGTGATGATGAACTCCTTGAATTTGGTCTTATCTGAGAAGCACTTTATCCGCTCTTCCATTCTAAATGAAAACTTTGCTGGATAGAGTAATCTTGGTTGTAGGTCTTTGGATTTCATGATTTGGAATACTTCTTTCTAGCCCCTTCTTGCCTGTAAGGTCTCTTTTGAGAAATCAGCTGACAGTCTGATGGGAACTTCTTTGTAGGTGACAGTCCCCTTATCTCTTGCTGCTTCTAGGATTCTCTCCTTCATTTTAATCTTGGCTAATGTAATTATGATGTGCCTTGGTGTGTTTCTTCTTGGGTCCAACTTCTTTGGGACTCTCTGAGCTTCCTGGATTTCCTGGAAGTCTATAAAGCACACATATCTTAATGCATTTGTTTTTATCAGAATGCTCAAAATAAAAAGGAATGAATACCAAAATTTCCCCCCAAATAACCACAAAGGGTACACTAAACCAAAATAATTCTGTAAATCTTGGGAGAGAACCTGTTCTTGCAAGATTTGCAGACCAATTTTTCAAGATCAAAAGTGTTTATACAAGCTCACAAAATCTTGGATTTTTTCCCAGACTAAACCTCCAGCACTTCTGAGGTTGGCCCATCACTAATATTTACAACATTTTTGACATTTCACGACATGGACTCATAGGCGTCTGTGATAGGTTAGCTTCCGAATATGATGGAGTGCCGGAACAACCTGCTGCGTGTGAAAGGCAGTCAGTCAGACGTCACTGGCGTTTTGCAACAGGAAGCAAATGACTTGTAGGGACCATGAGCCTGTTGTGTCCTGTCCACTTCGTTAGTTGAGAACATCACTGGGGAACCATTAGGGCACACAGGGCCCTGCTTTCCACCTGAGAAGGGCTCCGTGCCCAGGGATTTGAGGCCTGCATTTAGGTGGGGTTCCTTCCTGGAGTATCACATTTCCCGACAGAAAACTTTTAGAAACAGGTTGTCAAATATGCTGATAATCTTAACCCTTTACAATAACAACCTAGCTTAGTGCCTTACACTTAGTAGGCCTTTATAAGAATTTTCAACAAATCCATATATTCACCAAGTTGGAACATGTAAAATAAAGTAAATCCTGAGTTCTGTGGTAACATACCTTTAATGATCCATTTATCCGTGGTGATTTGCTATTTTTCCCAAAGCCTGGTTATTCCTAAAAATGCTTCTAAAGATCACATGGATTGCCAATGACAGTAATAGGATAAAGCCACAGATGCTTTTTTACTCACCAAATTAGGATTCTCCTCCAAAACCATCATATTTATTCAGCCCCTTCTCAAGAGATTCCTTCCCCTGGATTATGGGGTGTCACATCTGCAACATTTATTCTCCAAACTCAAGGTTTCTGTGTGTGATCAGTTATAAGAAAATTTATTAGGTACAACGAAAATGGATGAGATAAGTGTCCTATTCTCAGAAATCTTCAGTCTAATTTTGGAATCAAGACAAATACAAACACAGGCAGTAACACTTGCCACCAATTAGTGGTATTTGAAAGCTCTCTAATGGAAGTAGGGGTTTGGATGCTTATATTGAGAATTAAAAAAAAAACAGGACTGGTAGTTGCACGTTTCCATCTGCCCTTTAGAGAATGGTGGGTATAAACAAGGAGACTATCCTGATTCACATGCAATTTAAAGCCCCACTGAGGCTCAGCACTCAAATCCCGCTCCTCCCAACACTGGCATCAAGGCCATTCTTCTGGAGGCCTGTGTGCCCTCCCCTCCATCATCCCAACAGCGTCCAAGGCTTTACCTCTTTCTTTTTCTACCCCGGCCCAGCCTAACTAACTCTCTATAGGAGCTTGATCCTTCATTTCCCAGAGTTCCACAGCAAGATTAGAAAGGGGCCAATTTAACAGGAGAATAGAAGTAGTGAGCACACCTTTAACAATAATCCAACCGGGGTTCTCTTCCCCTAGTTGCTCATCATGTCTATTAATGTGGTTGATAATTTACAACTTGGAGCCCTGCCACTGGACATAGGCTAATTGCAAGGCAGCTCTCAGACAACCTGGGGGCAGCTCTGAACAGTGTGATGTTTAAGGTGGCAGGCCAGACCTGCTTCTCTGGGACTCCCGCCCTCTCAGAAGATGCCCTGTAAGGCAAGGCTGCCAGGTACAGGGAATAATTACAAGGGGCTGCCTAACTGCCGTGGCCATAGAAATTTAACCTGAGTGTTTTCAGGTAACTGCCAGCCCCGAACCTGGCTGCCTTCCATGCGCCCCACAGGCCCCGTGTGAAGTGGGTGTTTTACAGCAAGTTACAGCAACACAGCTGTTTGCACTAGAACTTAACCCAGGTATGCGAGACAGCTGTGCCAAAGCACGTCTTACTATTGCATTAATTCAAAAGCAACCCACATTAAAAAAATTTTTTTTGACTCTGACTGGTGGTTTCAGTTTCTTGTCAAGAGCTGCTTATTTAATTCAATTTAATAAAATGTTTTTAAGTACCAACTATGTTGGTGCTTTTGACATCTGAAAATAATGAAGGCACAGACCCTTCCTCAAAGACAGAGACATCAGCCCAACCCTTGAGCAACATCCTAACTAGTATGGATACACACCCCCCAATGTTATAATGCAAAAATAGGAATAAATATAAACTAAACGGTGATACTAAAATAATGATTATTTCTAACTAGATTAGTCAGGAACGGCTTCCCAAAGGTGATGGCTTTCGAACTGGACTTTGTAGGGTAAATACAAATTCTCTAGGCACAAAATAAAGGAGAAAGGCCTAACGGGGGGAATATAACACACCAAAGTATAAAAATGTGAAGTATGATGGAAGAAACATATGAGCAGATCAAATTTAGGGAGGGTAAATCTTGAGCAGATGAGTCTGGGTGATCAGTTCCTGCTTAGAGACCCCTGGCAGCAAGCTTGGAGTCACAGCCCATCCAGCGCATGTGGGGACCCATTCCAGGGTGTTATACAATGTGTGGCAGGACCAGGGTGGCTTTCTAAAAGCTCACTCCAGCAGCCCCTGCTAAGGGAGACTCCAGGCAGCCGAGAGAATATTGCAACAGTCCAGGAAAGAGAAAGGGAGGATGTGGAGTGATGAAGCTAACAAAAAATAATTCTGCTTAATTGGTTCACGGAAGCTTGCAATGGTTCCGCCCTTCATTCCGCAGCCAGACTTTGGATTTTGGTATACACAGATTTGTTGGTGAGTGAAAAGAACCATCATAGTCTTAGAAGAAGTACCAATAGAAGAGTACTAAAATGCTAAATTATAAAGCATTGACATTTAAAAATATTCTAAAAGGTCTAGTCCAACTCCCTTGTTTTATCTACAAGTTAGTTGGCTAATTCATGGCAAATTCAGCCTGGAAGCCAGGTCCCTAGCGAGGCACTGGGAGGCACTGGGTTGTTTTGTAGGACTTTGTTACAGGTTCAGTTGCATTCCCCCAGAAGTATGTTGAAGTCCTAACCCTCCAGTACCTATAAATGTGGCCTTATTTGGAAATAAGCTTGGCAAATGTAATCAAAATGAGGTCATCAGAGTGGGCTCTCACCCAATATGATGGGTGTCCTTACAAGAAAAAAAGAGATTGTTGTATGAAGATATGAAGACACAGGGAAAGTATCATGGAGGATGGAAGCAGGGATTGAACTCAGCTGCAAACTAAGGACAGCCAAGGATTGACAGCTGTCACCAGAAGTTAGTCAGAGGCAAGGAAGATTTACCCAGAGTCTCAGAGGGAGCTGATCCTGCCAATACCTTGATTTCAGACTTCTGTTTATAACTGTCAGGGCATTGGCTTCTGTTGTTTTAAGCTACCTATCCATACTGGGGTTTTGGGGGCAGCCCTAAGAAATAAATACAGATATTAATATTTAAATGTTTTCTGCATGTATATCTGTGCGTGTAAAGTGCCTCTTAAATGGCTCAAAGATTATGCCTAATGCAGAGCTAACTTAAAAAAAATAAATGAAATTCCATAAGCACTGCCCACGGTAAACCTATTTGGCTCACTAGTAAATCTCATGTTCACAGTTTTTACACAATGAAAAGATTTTAGCAACTAAAATTTGAATACATCTCATAAAGCATTTTTACCCATTATCTTATTTAATCTTCTCATCTGTTCTGGGAGGTGGGGAAGAGTGAGACCATGGTTGATGGCCCAAAGTAATGGAGCCAAAGTCAATAGCAGGGCTTCGGCTTCAAGTCCTGTGCTTGTGCCTGCCTTGTGCCCCATTAGTGCCTTCAGCAGCTCATATCTGGTGAGAATCACTCAGGATGAGTGGAGGTTGTGGGTGAGGAAGACCTCTGCCCAGGAATTGCTTATATATGAAACTCATGAAGAGTGGACTTGAGATATTAGCACAAGTGCCACCAAGCAATTCTATTTCCAGGAGAGAAATGCTAGTGATATAAAGTAATAACGTAGTCTCTTTCATTCCAGCAAACATTTATTTTTGGAGACTTGGGGAGTATAGAAGAGAGCCTATAAAATGACATGTTGTTGCATCTCTTCCCTAGCTGTCTCCTGAGTCCGAAGAAATAAAAGAACCATCTACAGCTTTGGAAACCAGAACCAACTCAGCTTCTCTCAGACGTGCTGGGCCTACTCTTTTCTCCAGCGTCATCCTATCATTTAATATCTCAATTCTCCTTGTGAGATTTTTATGGTTGGTAAGAAAAATCAGATCTTGGCTAAGTGAGTCAGTTCAGTTTTTGTTGTTTTTGACTTGGAGTTTTTGTTTGTTTGTGAGACGCTGGAGAGCTCATGTAGGTAGCGGCAGGGAGACAAATCACTGACCAATTACACAGAAGAGAAGGAACAAACTTCTGGAAAATAATGGGAACCATGACCACAAAATGACATGGATCAGAAATTGGCTAACGGTATTACAATAATTACAGAGGTGCAGCACAGCTGGAAGAAGGAGAGGTAGTGAGAGGAAGAGCAGGAAGAAGAAGAAATCCTCTCCATTTGTATAGGTCAATGAATGACAGTGGTTTTCTAAACCGCCTCATGGATTTTCATTCAAGCAGCAGCAGAGTGACAACCAGTCTCAACCGGGAGACCTTCACACGACAGCATAAAGCACTCCATTTCTAAAAACTTACAAAACTAAGGGTCACTCTCTATTTGTTTCATGTCCTAAACATCCTTAAAAGTCAAGAATGGTGACCCAAAGGTAAACCTCACCCTTCCATCTTTCCTAACTTCATGACCAATTTCCTCATCCAGGCCAGAAATGTGTATAATGTTTCATCTCCAGAGGGACATGAGGAACACAGTGGAGGATGTCTCCACAGCTGCATGAAAGTCCTTCTGCACTGGAGCTGGGACTCCAGGTGCGAGAACGAATTCTCCAGACTGGCGATGTCTGTGCAGCCTGTGGAAGCTGGAGCTGCAACTTTGAAGGCAGTGACACACGCTCACATAGCCTTCTCCACCCTTCACCCACTCATACCCTTAAATCAGAGTCAGGTCAATGGTGCTGCCATGTACTCCAGAGAAACATCCACAGTTCTTCAGTTACACGGGAATGTCATGTGTCCTTTATTATTACAAATAAAGAAGTCAATACTTGCTTTGGAAATCTTTTCCTTTGTTTTTATAAAAAGAATATTCATTTTAATATTTATTGTAATAGGACTTGGATTTGATCTATAGCTTTTTAAAATTTTCTTACAGATTTTATTTATTTTTAGAGGGGTAGGGAAGGGAAGGGAAGAAGAGAGGGAGAGCATCAGTCTGTGGTTGCCCCCATGCACCCTCTGCTGGGAACTGGCCTGCAAGCCAGGCATGTGCCCTGACTGGGAATTGAACTGGGGACCCTTTGGTTTGCAGGCCCATGCTCAATCCACTAAGCTACACCAGCCATGGCTTCTGTGTAGCCTTTAAAGTAAAAATTGTCATTCCCCACCCAATAGCTCCACAGAAATGCAAATGTTTATGAAGGTTTTATTCAAAAGTTCCAAAGAAAGTTAGAAGAGTTTTCAACAGATAATTGAGACTCAACAACTAAACCCAATAGGTTTAATGCAGATAGATTTTTGTGGCTTTAAGAGTTAAAACACCAAGACTCCCACCTCTTCACATCTGTCCCTGCTTTACATATGAGAAACTCAGAGGGCCTAACCAACCTCAAGGCTGTGTAGAGCTGCTCTGGAATGCATGCCCACAGCCGACCCAGCGGCACCACACACAGTTTATGACTTTTCACCCTGCTAGCTGCTCTGCACAGATTTTCAGGAGAAGGGCAAGGCTGGCTGCTTTGCCACTGCCCCGGAGCAGGAGTGACCTCCTAGGAGCACAAAGCAGCATGCAGGGCAGTTGCCCTGAGGCCCGGGACTTCCCCAGCACTGAAGTGGTTAACTT